ATTCAGGGTGTTAGTAGACCTAGACAATCTGCCAGGAATGACGACGACGAGGTTAATGAATATTATCAAGGTTCTGGCCCCCGACACACTAGAAGTCGGGGTGTAGATGCGTCCGTTCGTCGGGGTGGAGAGGGTCAGACAGACGATGCTCCTTAACTACAATATAATTTTGTAATTTAGAGGGATTATACAATTAATTAGTTATGAAAGTATTTGGATTATTTTTATTATTGTTATAATCAATTAGTAGTGATATTAAATAATAAATTAGTTTAAAATTGTCATTGTACTTTATTAATGTAAAATGTAACGTTTCTAAATGAGTTTTTTTTTATTGCAAAACATAAGTTGAATGATCTGTAACACGAATTAAAAATGAAAAAAAAATTATCATTGAGAACAATCGAAAATCACATCAATGGTACTTTTTTTTCATTTTTAAGTTGAATGGTTTTTTTTGTTTGCTAAACTTCAGTTGAATGATTTTTTTTTTATTCTAACGTCTAATTTATAAAAAATTATTTTGAATATATAACATAATAATTTATAATAATATTATTTTATGAAAAAAATGGTGTCCGGCCGTTGGGGCCGTCCGATTTCGGCGGCTGGACAATAAGAATTTTTTTTTTTACTTTTGAAAAAAATGGCAGGAGCAAAAATGTCCAAAGGGGCGGTCCCAACCACCACCACCAGCTCAGCCTTCTGCCGCCACCGGAACTACCTCAGAAAGACGACTCCTCACCCGATCGGACCACATCCGCCGGGCCCTGCGGACGCTGCTGGCGGAGTAGTAATTTGGGTCGCCCCCATCTTGAAGAACAAAAGAGGAAGGCCTAGGAAGTACGGCCCTGACGGCTCGGTGGCTGCTAAAGCCCTCTCACCCATGCCGATTTCATCCTCGGCGTCGCCGCCGGTGATCGAATTCTTCGCCGCCGAGAAACGAGGGAAGGTTCGGTCTGTCACCTTGCCTGCTAAAGTGCCAGAGCCTCTCAGAGTGGAGTATGATGGTTTGGGTAAACGAAATGGTAAATTATTCTGCGTGTTTGTTTTTTTTAATTATTTTTTTTATGTGATTTAGTTTGTTAGAAGTTGTGCTTGCATGCCAGTTGATTAAGGTTGTATTTTTTCATGTGGGGATATGTGAATTTTATGGTGAACCTGAGGCGTGAATTTTTGGGGTCTGGAGTTTAAAGTGAAGAAAGTGGGTCTTTTTGTTTTGTGGTGAGATATTAGAACGGCTATGGCGGAAAATAGATAGTTTATGTTTGGTTCATGTAAATTTTCTCTGCATTCCTATATTTTGCTCTAAAATTTCAGATCATGAAGGGTCTATCACTTTGTTTCTCTATTTACATATTTTTTAAGAAACTAGATGAAGCAAGAAAAAAAAAAAGAGAAAGAAGCATTACTCTGTGGAACAAGTAAAAATGTGTAGGTAGGTAATTGCTCTGTTTCAGATTCATGGGGACCTTTATAGGCTATGGCAGTAGCAAGTGCTATTAATGACAACGGTAACATAGCGTTGTGAAAATTCTTAAGATATGGTATTGCCGGAGCAGCTTAGGCAACAATGGCATCTCAGGTATGCCGAGTCTGCCTGATAATATATTTGCACATGACTTTTAACAATCCCATGACAATATTGAGACATATATGCAACTTTAATTTTCTCGATGTTTCATACTCCCATTCATTTGAGTTTTCTACTAATGCATGTTGCCTTAGCTTGTTGCAGCTTAATTTTTTTGCCTGATCCTCTTACATAACTTTGTCTGGCTTGATCAACTTATATCTTTTTTTGATCTGTGAAATTGTTTCAATCATTTGTAGCGATATCATCCGAGGTAATCTAGATGATAAATGGGAAAGCATAAAAGGACTAGATAATGCCAAACGGCTACTCAAAGAGGTTGTTGTCATGCCAATAAAGTATCCCAAGTTTAGATGGACATTTGGTTAATTAAACCAATGCCGGGGATTTTTGTTTTCCTTTTTTATTTTTAACATTGAATGTTGTTCATGTAGGAATATACAGGATCGCGTATGAACGAATTGGCTGCTCCTTGGCTGATACTGCTTCTAGCCCAGCATATATGGATTACCTATCTGCGGCTGCTTCTAACGTTGTGCCAACTATTTTACAGGTCGATTTTTTGCTATTCTTCGCAAAAATCATTATTTTACACTATTTTTCTTTCTTTTTTATTCCTTTTAAAATAAATCTACATCTGTGTTTTTTTTCTCCGGGCATTTGCAAAAATTCCTGATTTGAATGTATGGTATGGTGACATCTACGTGGGAGCAAATATTATGGAGTTGTTCCAACAGATGACTGTGATAAGTGATGAAGAAGTAGCAAGTGTACATCCTAGGCACAACAGGAGGTCTATAAAATTTTTGATACCCTGCCTTCACTATTTTCAGGTAGTTTAAGAAATTATAATTGGAGACAAGGCTTTTATTTCTTCGTTGGATTAGTACTCAAATTCTATGTTTTTCTGAACAAACATTTCCATCTCAGGGTGCTGTTCATTTTTTTATAAACGAAAAAAATAGCTTTTTTCTGGGTAATTAATATTTTGTTTGTTTATTTTTTTTGGCAGGAGGGGACATGTCAACAAAATAAAGGAAATGTACTGCGACTTGTTTCTAACCGCCCACTTTGAAGCCCCCTTCGAGATGTTCTCCTTGGCGATGGAGGCTAAGCGGAGAGGGATGGGAGTCGTGGCGTCCACACAAAACATCCTAGACTTCATCAAAGAGAGGTTGCAAGAAGCCTTGGACAGGAAAATCGACAATCATCTTCAGTTTGTCTTACATATATGTTGATCTTGCACCATCTTGTGCAGGTACTTTACCGGTCTTTTAACACCATGGAAAGGCATTCTCCTTTTTGGCCCCCTTGGGACTGGAAAGGTTTGTGTTCCACTTCATCAATTACTTTTTTTTTTTTTCTGAAAAAATGAAAGAAATATGAAATCCATCACAAGTATTTGCATTTCTAAAAGTAGCCATCTCATCTATGCCCCTGAAGTTTGTTGTTCGAATTTTGCACTCCATTGTTTTCTCAATGAAGGAGCAGCTGCGATGGCGAGACCTGCGATGTGTGCCCGGACTTCCTTTGATCCATAGGATTCAAAGAGAAAGGAAGACCCGGTGGCACGTCGAGCCAGCGACAAAAAGGTATGCCCGGACTTCCTTTGATCCATAGGATTCAATTGCATTATCCTTTCGAAATTACAGTGAGCTGTAGAAAGCCCATTGCTATTACCATTCAGTAATAATAATAATAAAACAAAAACCTTTTTATTCTTTTTCTTATTTCTATTTTTCTGAAATTGGTTGGTGGGCACTTCTAGGATTTGCTCAAATCCCATGCTCAATTTGAAGGGTTCGATTTTCAGAGGAACAAAAGGGTCGCCATGGGCCTATCGTACTGGATTGTGCAGCACGATGCCACCATTAAAGGGTCCAAGAGGAAGCCCCATATTCGCCTGACTTTCTTCTGAACAATCAATCTGTTCTCTATGGTACAACCCAATTCTCGCTTTTTTTCTTGGTCCGGAGGTACAAGCACTTTAATGCATGCATTGTTGATGATTTCATATTTTTCATGAAAGAGTATTGACTGTTAGAAAGAGCAGAACATGTGAGATACATGATTTGTATAAATTGCCGTCCTTTGTTTGTTTATTATCTGTGTTTTCATTCATTTTCTTGGTGATTTTGTTTAAGTGTTATAAAATACTGTCAAGTTGTCTAATTGTATGCTTGTGATTGATTGAAATTTTAACAAAAGGGGTTTTTGGATGGCTTTGTCTCCCTGATTGATTAACCAATCCTATGTTTGATTGGGATTCTTGTTTTCTGTTTTTGTGTTTTGGTGAAATTAAATTTGGTAGTTATATACGAAATTGATGAGTTCTGGACTATAAATATAGTTTTGAGAGTAACCTGTATTTGGACTTGACAGGAGTCCTTCGCCATTAAAGTCTCGGGTAAGGATAATGAGGTTTTTCAGAGCATCCTGTGAGCTTGCCAGAGGCAGAGGAGGATGTCTCGATGGAAAGTAACAACACATTTAGGACATCTATTGAAGTATGTGTTAGTCGGAGTGCTCTCGTTGTTACTTTTTGCTACAATTTTGTAACTTGCATATTTCTGTTTGAGTAGTTCTTATATTGTTATATTATGTAGAAGTTGATATTTATGAACCCTTAATTTTTCTGGAAAGATTCATGGGGACTTTATAGGCTATGGCAATGGCAAGTGGTATTAATGACATTGGTACCATAGCGTTGTGAAAATTCCTAAGATATGGTATATCCGAGTCTGCCTGATAATATATTTGCACATGACTTTAACAATCACATCACAATATTGAGACAAATATGCAACTTTATTTTTCTCGATCCCCCTCATTTGAGTTTTCTACTAATGCATGCTTGCCTTAGCTTGTTGCAGCTTAATTTATTTGCCTGATGATCATGTATTTGTATTGGATTATGTGTTGTGATGTAACAAATTAGAGTCGTTCTAGGCACAGAATTGTCGAGGACTAACTATCAAATGTGAGCCTTCAGATGATAGTAGTAAATAAGAATGTTATACATGACTCATACTATCAACCAGAACTAAAAATGTACAAATGACAGACACTTTCCATTTAACAGACGAAAGAACTAAAAGTACAAATGACAACACTTTCAAATATGATATAATATTGTATATATGAAGAATAAGTTTAGTACAGTAAAATTGTTAGAGAAAAGACTGAAAAGTTATGTTAAATATTTGTCTTGAATTTATTATTTAACAATGTTATCATTTTCGTACATGAACTTATATTTACTATTTCATGTCTTTAATTGAAATATCATGTTTTACTTGCTTCCAGTGGTCTATTGTTTATTATTTGTTTACATTACATCATAATTATGTTGTCTAAACTTTAAAGTGGTTGACTAATGATTTCTTTTTCACAGTGNAGATGAATTTAACAGATCAAACAAACAGAAACAAGAACAAAAATACAAGACCACTGACACTAGACCTAGTCTTGCCCCTTGCACTGCTCCTGTTCATCCCTCATTCCTGCCCTTGAATTCTGACCAATCTCTACAAGCTGCTTTGAGGATCCTAGTTTCTGTTTGCCATTTCTTTTCAAAAACCCACATATTTCGAGCCCGCCACAACCACCACAATATATATGTTGACAATGTATAGAGGTTGACTAATGCTTTTCTTTTTTTTTTTTTAATAAAACATACAATTCCTGCACGTTCACCTTAGTACACCAACAAAAGTTATATTAGATCTTGGAGTATAAATATATATGTTTGATACATATGACTTGTATAATCATATATTTTGGGCGTGTAAACCTGTGAATCAAACATAGAGGCTGATAATTGAGTGGCGATGAAAAAACAAAGTGAACCTAATTGATAATATTCAGGAAAAGTAGTTGTGCTAAAAGTAAAATATCAAAATTTAGCAGACAGGACATAAATCAGGAAAACTATTTAGCAGACAGGACATAAATCAGGAAAACAATAAGAAGAGTTTTATCTCTCCGAGCTTGTCCCTGAATTAATCAAAGCCACGTACACGCGTGGTAACTGAAACTATGATACCCGTTATGGGTTTTGCTGTCACACTTGAAGCCGCAGTAAACGCATCTATAGGTACCCCGTGATGCTTCCTTTCTCTGTCTCGCATTCTCCCTCTCATCTCTGGTGGGCGGCTGCCCCAAAGAAGAAGACGGGTCAACGTTGTATCCAAGGGAGCCCCCTTCCTTCCTAACAAGAAAGGGGAATCGAACCAGCGGAGTCGGGCTAAACCATATGGGCGCGTTGGTCACCTTCTCCATAATCTGGACATCACATGGATAGAAGCATGGATGGAGAGACTTGCTCGCACAGTGGAAGAAGCCAACGTCGTAACCTCCTCCGACCCACTGTGGTGGGGCCGTGTAGTAGACGCAGCAGCGTTCGAGATCGTCCGGGTAGTCTTCAGCCGGAAGGGCAAACCCGTTGCTGCTGCCCACGAACAATGCCAGCCCCTGCAGGCAATGCTCCATGTACACGAGTGATTCCGTCTCTGGTATGTATTTGTGAACGTCGAAACCGACCGTCGTGTATGGAGCTGTATGGTCGTCGTCGTTGTAGTTTGTATGCTCCACGAACCGCCTCACATGGAAAAGCTCGTCCGATTGCTCGGCCACTACAAGGAACCGATAGCTCTTGCAGAGTCGTTTACGTTCCGACTCCTTGGAGTCTGAGTTGGAGGCCACCGGATAATTGTCTTTATCTACTGAAACGGCCATTGGGATCATCCTTGGAGAGAGCGGGTCCTGCAGATCCCAAGCCTCCAACAGAGTACCTGTACCTTCATTGTCTTCATCTTTATCTGTGAAACAGCAGAAGAAGAGCTTTTGTGAAGTTGAGTAGACGCACGATGCGTAACCGGTTCGCTGACCGAGTGGGGTCCACTCAGTGGCTCCGGGGCAACAGAAGGCCAATTTACTCTGCGGGCCGTGGATAATCACGGCACGACACTCTGGATCGGTGTCGGGGTTGGGGCTGGAGATCATGATGCTGCTTATTCCGCCTCTTGTATGATCATCAGAAGAATTGCTGGGAATATTATGCAATTTGAGGTGACGATGCGTGAGGGGATTGGAGAGAAATAGGTTTTGGTTGACGATATCGAACCAGACCACCCAGCCACGTGAAGAGCCCACGACGACACAATTATTGTCCGGCCAAAATTCGTGCTGTGGTGTTTTTTTGAGGCTGATGACTCTTTTATCTCCGATGCTGTAAAACTGATAAACCATATGTTCATTACTGGTGATTGGTGGTAGCATGAGCCAAGGCGAGGGTTTGGGCAGCCAGGGCGAGGTTGGTGGTGGCTGCGAACGGGTCGGTTGGGGTTCGTCGTCGACTCGGCTGCTGCTTGTGCTCATCGTCACGGAAAAATTATTACTTCGGCCCAACATACGAGGGGGAAATTTGATTGATGGTTTCTTCCAGCAAGCCAATTTGGGATTATAATAACCAGTAAAATTTCTGTAAGACAGGCGGGATGAAGTTGTGGTGGCTGAAGAGCACAAGGCGGCTCGGATGGAGAAAGCCATGGCCTATAGAAAAGAGTATTCTTAGGGTCGAATTAGAAGAAGGGGTAAGATGGCGAAATAAGAAGCCCTGCTTCAGATCGAGGATAATATAGCAGGAGAAGTAAATTAGATTAGGGCAAATCGGATGGGCCGATCAAAGAGGTTAATGCTGATGGGCTGGTTAAGGAATTTAAAGAAATTGGGCCGACCAAGGAAGCTGTGCTGTAGCCCATAAAATTGTTAAGAATTGTTTTACTGCTTTTTGGGCAATTATGTTTTTATTTCAGCATTTTATTTACCAAAAAGGAGCCCCATTTGGCATGTGCTTATATCTAGGGCTGTTATTTTTGTACCGAAAATCAAACCGAACATAAACGACAAGAAAATAAACTGTACCTACCGACTCGCTTGTAACAGTAACCGATTATTAGCTACCGAATTACTATCGGTTCCGAATCCACAAGAGTTTGGTTTTATCGAATAAAAATAAATAAATAAAAATAAAAATAAAAATAAAAAAAAATTAAAACTTTCAACCCATGATTATGACTTGCTAACCTCACCCATATTCCACTCTGACCTGTTGCAATGTTTCAGTTGGATGCATCAACATCCAACTTTTGGCATTATGTGTAAAATGTGATATCTGAAATTCATACTCTTCTTATCACGAGGAGTCGCTGTGAAATACGACGCCCGCAGCCTGAAAGCAACGAGCTCTAACCAGTCCCCACTTGACAGATGAAGCGTCGAGCTCCAACCATGCTTATTTAAAGACTCATTCTTCTTTTTTATTTGCCGCTAAAGTGGAATAAGAAAATACGTATTTGAGAGGAGAATCTCTTCTTTTATTTCTTATTCGTACGCTTCCCTACATCACTCCGAGACCTAGTTTATCGATTCTCGGAGAAACGAGTCGTGGCTTGTCATCATATAAAAATGTAGTCATTTGTGTGTCTTACTTAGAGCTCATGCTCTTGATATATACTCTTATTATGCAGAGTTTTCAAGTTATACATGTAAGTATTCTGTGTTTGCTGTCAGTATATTTGAATGCTTCTTGGCTCTACAAGTCGAGGCTTGTACAAGGACCACAGCACAACGTGGCCTTACACACAGTCCAAAAAAATCCAAATTGGAACTAACACGTTAAACAAACAAAATGAGACCAGAACTCTCATCATCACACATATATACTATGATCATCATCAGATTGGATGCATTATATTTAACAAACAAGTAAAGTATGTAGACCTAATGCAACATACGCCTATAGCCCCTCCTCTCTTCATTAATCTAACGAACGATCATTAAAACCCACGTCCCAACCCAAACCCAATCTTATACTGTTGTTTTTCTGAAAAATCCAACTCTTCTGACTCAGGCAGCCCTTGTTTTTCAAAAAAATCCAACTCTTCTGACTCAGGCAGCCGCCCTTTCTTACTATTAGTAACGTCTTATATAATGGCAAAAGATATGAAACTACATTCATAATAAACATATATTACTTCATACTATAGTTGGAACATTGATTGTGGTGAGTTCAATTTTTGTGATAATTGCTGGTGTAATTAACAAAAGGGTGAATTATCAATTATATTAAAAATCTTGTATTTGATAATGAATAATAATAGCTACGGCAGCAGTCGCTACCAAACAGCTGCAAGGTGATTCTTAGTTCAGAGAGGAAAGCAAGAAAAAAGAAGAAGCATAAGCAAAGACGAAGTCATTTTCGATTTTAAGAACAAACAGGAAGATAACAACTATGGCTTATTATAGAAGAGAGGAGTAGCCTGGGTGTGGCTATGACAAGCGAAGCTTTCTACACCCGAGAAGCCGGTCAAAGACAAACAACTGTAAGATTTCGATGCAAAACCGGAAACAAGAACAAAGTAAAATAGCGGACGCAAATTTAAAGAAAAATAGCAAGTCAGCTGAAGAGAACACGCACACGACAAAGCAACACTGGTTAGTAAACCATAGAATAACCCCAAAAACATTAACCACAGTTCAGCCACACGATTAACTCAGAAACTCATATTTTCAACCGAACAACACACATACTTAAAGGTATGGCGCATACACACCTAATGTATACTGAAGCAAATGACCATAAACAACCGAGGAACTGCGTGTATAGTGTCAAAACACACCGAAAAACGGTCGAAAAATCCGAGCTTGGATTATTTTCTCTACAAGGATTTGAAAAATGGGCAAGACCTGGAGGTGGAGTGTTGATCTAGCATGCCTGTTTAATGCTGAATGTATATATAGCAGATTAAGGCTGAACTTTTAACAAAGCTCTCTGGTTTGCCTATAGAACACCCTGACATTATTAGACAAAACCAACGGAGAAACAAGTCCAAATCAAATTTAGCAAAATTCGAAGTGCAACGAAACAAGGAAAAACATACTAGCATCACAAACATCAAATTTAGCTAGACTAGTAATAAAAATTCAAAAAGTTTTTTAACTCATTAGCAAAATCAGAAGAGAATAAAAACTAGGGAAAAGTGATGTCCTTAAAACCTAGCTACTACTTGAAGCATAACCAACACAATGAAAATCTAAATTAAGCTGAACAAGGTTGGGTTGCATTGTGGGAGTGAACCACTTTGGCGCGGCCACAATCTTCATTGCCTTTTTCGTTATACAGTAAAAGTTAGTATCTTCCAACCGGAAATCTAAATTCATAGATTTGAGATATATTCTAATTAATATTTCATATTAATTACCAAATTTTGAGATATATATTCCTTCTCTAATTTGTTGCGTAAACCACCTCCTCTAATACGGCAGTTTCGGATTTGGAATTTGCTAATCCATATATTATTTTCTCAATCAAATATTTGTACTCCATATCTAGATTTATGAAACTTACCCGGTTTATAAGGGAAAAATATCAAACCGGGATATATCCGTACAAACATCGAGATCTTCTTTAAATTATAATAATCACCATAATATTTGGCGTATTCTTGATTGGACAATCGTACATCATTTTGGAACATAGAATCTTGTCCCATTTTGAATTGGGATAAAATAACTTACTTAAATATATTGAGGTAAACGTATATCAACTAATTTATCCTCATTTTTGTTCTTTACTGCACATCTTATAAGACTTGATTGCCTTGCCTGTTCTAGTATACTGTTGTTTGTCCAGAGGCCTTCATCTCTTTTCCATTTTATCATAAGGTACGTCTATCAGCTTTTTTCGGTTTTAATATAAAAGCACACACGACACTTGTGATTTATTATGATTTACGATTGTTCATATATTCCGATCAAACATATATTTTGAATTAAAATTTGTACTTGTATGCAGTTACAAGGAATATTGATGGATTATAGTCCTGCGAATTTGGTATCTCTTTAATTTTACTTTGAAAATTTTGAAAGTCTTCTTTGATAAAGATTTCATGTGTGTGATGTGTATATTTGATGCAGTGTTGCGTTTTGAAAGTCGACGCTCATTGTGGCGCGTGCAAGGGCCACATGATTGAAATACTAAGCTGCATTGAAGGTACAACTACAAATGACCAATTAAGCAAATTTTGTAACTGTTCTGTTTTTTCAATTACCCAAATGGATTTTGAATTTTCGCTGTTGAAGGGGTGTACGATGTGACAATGGACGCCGAAAGTAAAACGGTAAAGATCATGGGGCAGGTGAATCCAAATTACTGCCTGAAAGCTTTAACAAGATGCGGAATTCACGCAGAACTCGTATGGGCAAACCTGAGCCACCCGAAGATGCAAAGGGATTACAATCGTAACTATAATTATGGAACAGCCGAAGGCTATGGCTATAGAAGATCATTGCCCGAAGGCATGTGGCATGAGACACCCGATGGCTACCCGATGATGATGGGGAATAACGTATATTCCACCAACACCTACTATGACGAATCTAGGCGCAATCCTCTTATTGACTATTATAATCAAGACTCCATGAATTTTTGTACCATACTGTGACTGACTTCTTGTTATTCTTATGCTTTAGTTGGTTTAGCATTTTTTTTTAAGAATGGGATTTAACTTAGTTGTAGCATTGACTTATTGGTGCTGATTTTAGGCCTAATGTTTGATGATTAAGGTGGGGCTCTCGTAAAGATTATCATCTTTTTGTACATATGGATACACATGGATTCTATAAAGTTCTTAGAATTGTTGATTAGGTCTTTAATTGTATGCGGTCTCATTATGGTAGAATTGAAAGCTGACTCCTGATTTTTCTTTTTCTTGTTCTTTTGGCTCCTTCATATTTCTTGTTTTTTGAATTCGATTGTCACATCTGTAGAATTAAGACAGGCAAAATCCCGCTGGATTTCAACGAGCATAAGAGGAAAACACGATTTCATGAGATATTGTTCATAAATGTAAAAGTAGGAAAGGGATGATTTGAAGTGATGGTTAGTTAAAATAATGTGAGTGGATGAATAATGAATTAAGGTTGATGTGGTGTGTATGAAAGATAGATTAATATTATTTAATTATATTGATAAGATTAATGATAGTGTGGTTGAATTAAAGTTGAGTTAAAATGTTGAATTTTGTTTGAAATTTTTTGTATGCAAATGTCTGGTGTGCTGGTAGGTATTGAGCTAAAGAGAAGATCTCCTAGGCTTAATGTGAATAGAGGCCGTTTAAGATGTTCGATGAAGATAGATAATAAGAGAATACTTAAGAGGTCTTGGATTTGCTCAAATTTAGATCAATTATGGAAGAGACTACTCCAACTCAGCTAAGATGTGAACAACGACCACTCAAGAAGTAGGATGAATTTGGGAAGAGACTACTTCAACTCAGATAAGAGGTCTTGGAAATGCTTGATTTGCCTGTCATCAGGTGGAATTTTCGAACCGGAGATCATAAAATCACTAGGGGAAGCAAGCACAACCGCCAGCAACAATGCATTCACTACACTTCAGGAAAAAAGATAGAAAGAAAAAAACAACAGAAACAAAAGCTAATATGCAAAGAAAAATCGATAACTTGAAATTTGTTCAGATACATAGGTACCAACAGTTCAACACCGAAACCTTCCAACACATTCCAACAAAATCAACAACAGTTCAACACCAAAACATTCCAACACGTTCCGACCAAATCAACATCGGTGCACTCCAACACATCCCAACAAAATCAACAACAGGACCATAAATACAATCACAAACTGTTCAGAAACAGAGACAAAGTAGACAAAAAAAAAAAGCAATACGCATATCCATCTATTGAGTGGAACAGCTCTGAACATACGGGAATACACGCGGAAGACACGACTCATCATTGATGCCCAAATACTCCGAGTGGCGCGTCGCACAGTTGTAATACACTAGGCCACCTTTCGCATCCAGAAGCAATGCTTTGTCATTCATGTAGAGGCTGACGACTCTATAGAGAGGATAAATACCCGGGGATTTCGGAGCATGAGTCGCCTCGCAAGACCAGGTACTCCCATTCCATACCCAAATCTCAAACAAAGGCCTCCAACCAAGTGTTCCCTTATGCTTAAAGTTGTAAATGATACAGGCAAGCGAGCCATGGAACTCTCCAAGAAGTAATTGACCGTCTTCTAACTTCCCAATCCTATCACTCTTGGGGATAGTGATAAGAGAAGAAGAAAACTCCTCTTTGAGAAAATCAAAGGAATAAGCAACATAACCACCGTCCCGGGCAAGAAAATAATTAGTTCCATTTGTACGAACGGAAACATGGCTATAGTATCCTAATTCCGGGTCTAATGGCTGCCTAACTTCCTTCCAACAACCTGTTCGAGTCGAGTAAACCTCCGCATATGCTTCCATGTAAGCGTCATAATCTAACTGATGGGTCCGGACGATTTTGTAGTCTCCGGACACGGGATCAAATCCCATACCGTAACCCCTCAAATGAAAGATGACCTCATCGTCTCCGATTGCCGGGTTTATACCGACATTCAGGGGGTCAGGGAGCTTTCCCGGCACTACCAAAGAATGTGGAATTGGTTTAGTTTCACTAGTGGTTGGGTCCCAGAGAAATTCCCATCGTTCTTCGGGAACTCTCGCACATGAGAGTAGAAACCATTTGTTGCAGCTATCAATAATATGATAATCGGCTATTTTATGGATGAAATTGTAATTTTCTGTTCTTAAGAAAGAGACGTCAGGCAGGTTGTCGCTTACCAGGTTAAGGGAATCATTTTCCATTGATATTACAGAGTACTCTCGGTTTCCCTTATGCACGTGCTCCACCAGGAGCATATGTTTGTCGTTGCAAGCACCCCGAAATGATGCACTAACAGAAGGGAAAAAGGCCGATAACTTGGATCTGAGTAGACTCATCTCTCCCCAAGAACAATGATGTCGCTGCAAGAACCGATTTTCTTAAACCCAAATTCCCAACAATGATGGAATGGTCGCTCCAAGAACAATGATAGTAACCTTACTTCCCCTTTTCAGAGTTTGGATCCCGTTTTTAGTTATACATAAAATCTTTTAACTATGGGCCCAAGTGCAATCTGGAGGGCCCAAGCCGAGGCTAATGTTCATTAAAAAAAATCCATTAAAGAAGGGATCTTTTAACTATAGGGTTGTGTTCAAGTGAGAAAGTTGTTCAATGAAAGAAATAGGAATAGATTATAAACATTAGATCGGATGATCTAATGGCTGCAAAAAATGCCAAAATTATATCATCATTGAGGGTATTATGGACATTACTCACACACACCAACTATACACCACATTAGTGCCCCACCCAATTAAACCGTTCCCATTCCCCCCACACCACATTTGTCACCTCTCTCTCTCTCTCTCTCTCTCTCTCTCTCTCTCTCTCTCTCTCTCTCTCTCTCTCTCTCACACACACACACACACTCATATTACACACACGGTACATGCACACGCACACACAACACACACATAGTCATCGCCGTCGTCGTCACGCTGCCGCCATCCATAGTCGCCGCCGCCGTCGTCACGCTACCGCCGTCACGACTCCGCCTCTGTCACGCCTCCGCCGCCACCGCGCAACAACCTTCGCCGAACCTCCTCTGCAAAATTCTGTCGTTTCCTTCGTCACCGCAGCACAACACACACTTAGCCGACCGCCCGTACCTGTGCTTGCCGCCTCTGGCTGTGAGCAACAGATTTCGACCTCCGTCCGCCACTCGCAGTCGATTTCGTCCAAGAAGACTACCACTCGGCGCCAATCAAAGAAGGCACTAATCGATCTCCGACAACATCGTACATCGAGGTCGACGTCTTTGAGCTGCGACGGCTCTATTTCTCAAGGTGTCCCGTTTCTCCCGGCCGTCGACTCCGTAGTCGACGTTGAGAAATGGCGGCAACTCGTCGAAATCCATTGTCACTTTAGGGACGAGTGGGAGCGCTCGTCGGTGCCGGCATCGGAGACGGCTGGAAAACATTTTGGAGATGGGGACTTTATTTGGAAAATTTAATAAGTCCCAAGGACTGGTTTACAATTTTTAAGAGTTTTATATAATTGCAAATAAACCCCTGAGGTCAATCTGTAATTTCAAAAAGGTTTAACTGTATTACTATTTAGTCCATTGATCAAATCTGTAATTTACAAAAAATAAATAAAAATATATTGTTTTGTATATATTCCGTATCCGTAATATTAAACCTAAAGTTGACCGGAATCTTGTGTAGAAGAAGCTTCAATTCGATAAAGGTGAGTCTAAAAAATTGCACAAAAAAGGTGGCGAAGAAAATGTCGGTACAAACACCTCCGGCGACGTCGACGAAACCCCCAGGCAAATAAGCGAACGGGGCTGAAGAAGCTCAACACTTTCGCAAAAAGAAAAGCCCAACTAAGATTATGATTTTGTTGAAGAAGAACTTGGCATGGACGAGATGAAAATGATGATTATGTTGTTGAAAGCAATGATCCAACCAAAAAAAATGAATGACAAAACTGACAAGGTCGGTAATTATAAGAAAAATAGGTCAATGCTTAGGGTGTGTTTTTATATAAAATAATTCAATACATACTCAATTCATACTCAAAATTTAATTGAACTTTAATATAACTCCACTAGCCTCAATATTATCAATATAATTAAAAAATACCAATCAATGATTCGTATATATCACATCAATTTTAATTCACTATTCAATCACTCACATAATTTTAACTAACCATCACTTCAAAATTAACCANAACTCGTTTTGATCAGAGTTATTTGTATCCAAGCATGCCCTTACCAACTAGCGTCAAAATCATGTGCGAGAAAGGCATTAGAATAATTTCAGTATATATTGCTTTTATAATAAGTGTATTTTACAATATGTTGCGTTTTTATTTATGTAACATTTATCTAATCACAGTTGTGATTTTTGATTCATTTTTTGTTTATATTTTTTACTTAATTTTATTTTATACCAACGATAAGCGTTGTTCATAATATAAAAAAATATATATACATACTAGATTACAATTTTTTTTTGCTTTACCAAAATTCGGCTTATACTTAGTTTATAAATATAATTATTTATATACATATAAGTGTATATATACAATTTCCTTTTTTTATTAGTAGAAAAAGAGGGAATCAAAAGAGGTTTTATTTGATGGTTGCTATAATCTTAGAGCATCTCCAATGTGACTTTTGACATTGCAAAAAATTATCCATATCATCAACTTTTGAAAGTTTATTACTAATTTATTCTCCAATGCATCTTGTCATTAGCTCTTTCATGATGATGTGGATGACATTTAATGTTAACAATGTTGAACTCACTTTCTAATATCTAACACCATGTTAAACATGATGACTCATTAATTCACTTTATATTTGGTTTAATTTTTTATTATGCTTGTATTAATGAATTATTATAATTGGTCCACCTATACAAATAAATTCTTATCAAATTGGTGCATTGGAGATACTAGTTTGATTCAAATTTTTAATCTTTTAACATTATTCTTATGTGGACTAACATTACAATCATCAATTGACATGTGTTAAAAATTATTGCCTTTCAACACCATACCATTGGAGATGCTCTTACTGTTTTCAAAATTGGAGTCACCTTTGCTTTCCGCCGCAATCTTAGTAGCATATTGTTAACAGCGCAAGCCTAAGAGCATCTCCAATGTGAGATGTTGACTTAATAAAATGTTCGCCACATCATCAAGTTATAAATTGATTACAAAAATTACTCTCCAATCCATAATGTTATGGACTCTTTTATGCTGACATGGAGAAAATAAATATCCAAAGTGTGAAGCCCACTTTCTAGTTTTCCAAAGTGTGTTTGAAAGCCAACTCATAAAAATCCTAACTTATTTTAAGCTTTTGAAAGGGATGCATTGGAGATGTGCATTCCAATTTAAAGTCTTCTCTTTTGACATTCATATTACATGAATTTACATTCCATTCATCATTTGACATGTGTTCAAATTAATTAATGTTAAAAGTGAAGCATTGAAGATGCTCTTAAAAGTAGACCCGTGAAAATAGAATTATAAAATAGGTCTTATGCTTGTGAATGTTTGTTCATATTTGGTTTATAACATGTTCATATAACATTCATCTATACACAATTTTTGAATTTATTGTGTTTATAGTGAGCAAATTCGAACTAAAAAATATCAAAAAATGGCAAAATAATTTTCTGCCTTTTGAACTCACACCTTCCTCATCTTCACCTTCTACTTGTCACTGCGAGCCGCTGCTGCCGCCAGATGTTTCCTCATCCCAATCATCTGTTACGCCGCCGCCAACAACACCGTTGTCGCTTTATCCTTCTCAACCACGCCGTACGGCCCCTCCCTCCAAAAAGGTCACACCCCTACTCCTCTCGAGCTATCAAAATTCTAGTCGAACGAGAACATTGTGTCCATAATCCATTGATTATGTGATGAATGAATATCATCATCGGCAAAGACTAAAATAAATAATAAAGAAAAGACGAGACAATAATCAATTCACAACGGTACATTTTTCTTTTTTGTTGTCTCATATTTTGTTCTTCATCATGGAAACAAATGTTCTTGCTCTATTTTTCGATTGAAGGGCGATGAAATTCATATTTCAAACAACATATAGAAGAGAGAGAGAGATGGAAACCTACATGTTTATAGAAGAGAGGGAGAACTGTTTTAAGGATGAATTTTTTAATTAAGGCAAATCCCTTCCGTTACAAAAATTAAGGAACCTACACATTTTTTTTGTAACCGACATTCTACATATTCATAATTATTTGCTATAAAGTCAGTAATAATGCTAATAATTTAATTGAATTGTATTTGTATAATAGTATTTTTCAAATCATAGAACATGTTTGTAAAAGAGCCATCAAGAAAATGAAGAATTTGGCCCACCACTATGGACTGGGCTGGGCGCTGTGGAACTCTCATTTTTTTTGTCACTTGAAATGAGTGTCCCGACATCCAAAACAAACTTAAGTTGTAGTCCATTGGGGTCTTTGAACACAAATGGGAACTAGGTTTCTTGTCTTGGAGGCGTGGTGAGAGAGAGAGAGAGATGGGATTCCTTGCAACAGCCACTGGTATCCTCGGCAACACCAGATCCAAATTCCTGGCCGTCTCGTCTAGGATTCTTTCTTCTGCTCCTGCCTTTGGCGGTACTACAGCTTGTGTGCTGGCGCCTGCCTGCAACTTGAATTACAACGATCTTGCTTATGGTGCAGCATGTTATCAACAGAACCCGCGATTACTCAGTTATCTCCACGGAAAACAACTCGTTCCAGGTACTAAAACACAATCTTCCTAAATTTTCTTTTCTCAGAGATGAAAACTACTACCCCATGTCTCCAGTCCGCGGTTATCTTGTTCAATCAGTTGTGGATATTGTTGACATGGGAAAAAAATCGTAATGACCATCTGTGGAACCCTATGACTAACGAGCCCAAATCCCTTCCTTATTTTGAGGTGGGGCCGAGCGTGCCCCGCATAATTTATGCTCAATTGAGGGGTCTCAGAACTCGGACGTTCGATTTAATTGGTATCGGCTATGAAGTCCACGTGGAACTCTTCTCCTTTGCAACTGGTTCATGGAAGGAAATTCCTAATTATCCTCATGCTCCCTGCATTGGACCCCTTCAATACAATTCTCTTCACATCAATGGGTTTATTATTGGCTAGCTATGGATACCGCCAAAGATTGTAGTCTCAGCATAATCTCGTTCGACTTTGCTAATGAGAAGTTCCGTTCTGCACTTATCCCCATCCCCCCTTATTCCGAGGAAAGGAAGAATTGTTTTGAGATTTGGGTATGGAATAATAAAATTGACGAGTGGTCTTACGTGTCCGTATTCGATGTCCCCTCTGCTGCTCCTGTTGTTAAAATAGTCGGCTTCTGCAAAAACGACAAATTGCTTGTTCAGGACTTGGAGGGTGATTTACTTCTTTACGATTATGTGGAGGAGAAGTGGACGAATCTTGGGATCCGTGCTGATATGTGAGAAGTGGACGTTTTCCCTTACCTGGAGAGTTCCGTTTTTGGCTGATCCGTATGTTTAAAATAAAATCAGAGCTTATAAGGTGTATTGTTGGTACTTGGTAGCATCTCTGAAATTACCTAGTGAAGATAAACCAGGTGGCTGAAACACTACAAAAAATAAGAGATTGATTGCAGCTGCAAATTTATATTATACAAGAATGTTAAGAAGATTCATTCAACGGTTCTCTACCAAACCAGTCTCCACCTCACCAACACAAACATCATTCTCCACCTCACCAACACAAACACCCTATTATAAAGGGACACAACGTCCAATTGTGAGTTTTGGTAGCTTTGATTTTAATGCAACTAGAATATTTTTTACTTTTACTGTTAATTGTTGCTAATAGCCGGTGGTCCATTATATAATTTTTCTCAAAACAAGGCTAATTGTTACTCGGTCATTAAATTTACTTATGAAGACCTCACAACACCAGTTTTGTCTTATGTAGTTTTGCCATTTAGTTTTTATTGTTTTTCTTTATGGAAACAATACATCTTTAGTAATTGAATCTCATAACTAAAAACAAATAAATACTTGTTGTAATATTAGATCAAAAGGATCAGTAGGTAAGAAATTATGTAAAAAATACAAATTTAGTGAAATATACTCAATCAAAAAAATAAAATAGTAAGGCCTGAACTTCATAAGTAATGAAAGATTTAGAAGGATTATTGGTAACAAATTATAACACTATTAACAATCATAAGTAGGTAATATAAGATTCAGAAGGATTAATTGGTAACACTTTATAACATAAATTTAACAAAATATTCTTATTCATTTCAATAAAATCATTTATCCCGATACAATATATTAGACGGAATATTAACCTTTTTAACTTTTTGGCATATAAAATGATTTTTTTAATTATATATAATTTATATATAATTAAAACCCACTTAATGGACTACTTGATTTTATTTTACTTTTTCAGATTCATTTCCTTTTTTGTACTGTTAAGAAGTAAATGAAAGTGAGAAAATGCTTATATGAGGACCCAACAAATTTCCATTATTTCCATCACACTCAATTTAAGATCAACATTTGGATATATAACTTGAACTGAGAATAAATAAAAACTGAAGTCTTGAATTGTAAAAATAAAAAATTGGGATCTCAACTTGAGAAAGAATCTATAAGGGGGTGATTGTTTATGAATTCATCTAGAAATTAATTGGTTTTTTTAAATTATAGTTACTTTTGAAAAAAGTTGGTATGGTTAGTTGTTAGTGGATATATTAAATAATATTTAAAATAAAATAATTAAAGTTGATATGATATAAAAGTAAGAGAAAAATGATTAGAAGTGGTGGTTAGTTAGAATTATGTGAGAAGATGAATAGTGAATTAAAGTTGATGTGATATGTAAGAATGATTAGTTGATATTATTTAATTATATTGATAATATTGGAGAAAGTGGAGCTGGGTTAAAGTTGAGTTAAATTTGAGTTTTGATTAGTTTTTTTCTAGGTGAGTTGATAAACAATCACACCCTAAGTGAGACACCCCCTTGAAATTCTCCCTTTTATATTGGGATTGGGCTATTTATTTCATATCGGGGTTGGGCTAAATTTATACTGTTATTGAAAATCTTGACCTCTCCCTCACTGTATCAGTATCTTATCTAGCCACTGCACAAACAAATTTACACATCAATCATATATTTTCTCTTATTAAACATATTTTGTAAGCATAATGTTATGACAGCATTGTTCCAAGGTAGGCTTTTATTTGAATTTTTCAACATTTTCTTCAATATATATATATCTGATCTTTGGATTCCAATAGGGGTGTATGATTTCATATTTGATTTTGATTATTATAATCTTTCTACACCAACAAGTGTCCCCCCTCATCTCTCTCCCTCCAATAGGGGAGAATTTGCATATAGTGTCTTTGCATGTTCGTATAATGCGAAGAGACACGACGATCATAAGTACAAGCCAGGCAATGTGGATGGATCGTATCACCAATGGATACCGGTGACCCAAGATATCCATGGCTTTGTATTGCACGGAGTCCGTGCGATTCAACTTAAGTACGGGATACGGATACCCCAATAATGATGAAGTTCAGAGTTTCAAAAAGAGGATGGAAGACAATGAGCAGCAAGGGCTCATATGCCTGGACTATATGAAGTCTATATGACCGAATCTGAGGAGAATGTAAAATTTCTAATTTCTTTATTTTCTTTTTCTCATTTACTTCATTTTTTATTAAAATTCATATGGCGAGGATTGTTATTTTGTGTTTTGGCTCATGCAATGCAACAATTACACCCCGAACTGCGGGCTCACGGAGGACCAGTACTTTTCTAGAGTTTGTCTTCTGGAGTACAAACGTAAGATTTCACCGTGGCCCTGAATCCAAGTAAGTTATATTATAATAGATGCAATTATATGTGAGAGTGAATGGAATTGATCTATAGGCCAACAAGACAACTTAATCAATAAATTTTTGGCATGTACATGTAAGGTAACTCAATAAATAAAAGTGCCCATTCTATAAACTGAGAGGTAGGTTGACATAATAAGTAAGTCTTCGTGCTATCAAGATTAGAACAATTATGCAAGTTAACTACTGCTCTTTGCTTTATAAAGATTAGTTCGTACACCTAATTTCGTTACGTACAGCTAGCAATGCATACTTATGATGCGAAACGAGTTCTCGTAATGCCCTATCATAGATGAAATAAACCAGTATCCCACGACACCTATTTTCTATGCTATCAATAGAATCCATCGAACAAGTCACGCACTCACATTCTAAAATTTCAAAAAAATAAAATTAAAAAGTAACTCAAACGACCAAGTTGCTCAATTATAAACTAATAATCTTAAAAGATACTTGGAAAAATAATCTAAAGAGTTTTTAGAAAATTACCCTCGTTCAACATGCATGCATATTCACATTACAACTTCCAAAAGCTTAAGCCAACCCACACAATAAATCTCAATTTCATAACGAACTTACAATTTCTATCTCTCTTCTTTTTTTTTTATCAGCTTTTGGTATGACTATTTTTACGAAAATATTTTGTTCTAGTTTGGAGCACAAGGAGTTGGACATGGTCTTTCTCTCCCTCCACAAGTTGCGTAAATGTAAGACCGTCATCTTAAGGGAGGTGGCCGTACGTACAAACAAAGACGGAAAAATCTTCTGTCAGTTGCCCGTTTTTAGAGGATACAATGGATATTTCTTTTGGATACCAAAATGAGGTATGTGACTTTTTTTTTTCTTTCTTTATTGTTATTTCTTTTAAACCAAAATGAGGTATGTGATACCAAAATCTATAGATGCGTAGTCATTTTGGTATCACATACCTCGTTTTGATTTAAAAGAAATAACAATAAGGAAAGGAAAAAAAAAAGGTGGCATACCTCATTTTAGTATCCAAAAGAAATATCCATTGTATCCTCAAAAAACAGGCACCTGATGAAAGATTTTCCCGTCTTCGTTCGTCCGTACGACCACCTCCCTTAAGATGACTGTCTTTCATTTACGCAACTTGTGGAGGGAGAGGAAGACCATGTCTGACTCCTTGTGCTCCACACTAGAACAAAATATCTTCGTAAAAACAGTCATACCAAAAGCTTTTAAAAAAAATAGAAAGAGAGAAATTGTAAGTTCGTTATGAAATTGAGATTTATTAAGTGGGTTAGCTTAAACTTTTAGAAGTTGTAATGTGAATGTGCATGCATGGTGAAGGGTAATTTTCTAAAAACTCTTTAGGTTATTTTTCCAAGTATCTTTTAAGATTATTAGTCTATAATTGAGCAACTTAGTCGTTTAAGTTACTTTTTAATTTTATTTTTTTGAAATTTTAGAATGTGAGTGCTTTATTTGTTTGATTCTATTGATAGTATAGAAAATAGGTGTTGTGGGATATTGGTTTATTTCATAGATAGGGCATTAAAAGAAGAACTCGTTTCGCATGATAAGTAAGCATTGCTAGCCGTACATAATGAAATTAGGTGTACGAACTAATCTTTATAGAGCAGTATTGCATGATTGTTCTAATCTTGATATCACGAAGACTAACTTATTTTGCCAACCTAACTCTCAGTTTTTATAATGCTCGGGCTGGATGTTTGCTCATGCATGTTTTTCGGGATAATTTTGAAAACTTGACATTTTTACTTATTGAGATACCTTACATGCAAAAAATTTATTGATTTGGTTGTCTGGTGTTGTTGGGCTATAGATCAATATCCATTCACTCACATATAATTGCATCTATTATAATATAACTTACTTTTGATTCAGGGCCACGGTGAAATAGTATGTTTGTACTCCCAGGAAAGGAAAGTACTGCTTCTACGTGTGCCCGCAGTTCTGAGCATGATTGTTGCATTGCATGAGCCAAAACACAAAATAACAATCATCGCCATATGAACTTAAAAAAAAAAAGAAGTAAATGAGAAAAAAAAATTAGAGATTTTACATTCTCCCCAGATTCGGCCATATAGACTTCATATAGTCCAGGCATTGAGCCCTTGCTGCTGATAGCCTTCCATCCTCTTTTTGAAACTCTGAACTTTATCATTATTGGGGTATCCGTATTTCATACTTAAGTTGAATTGCACGGACTCCGTGCATTACAAAGCGATGGATATCTTGGGTCACCGGTATCCATTGGTGATACGATCCATCCACATTGCCTGGCTTGTACTTATCAATCATTATGAACAATAGCCAGTGCACAGTACCCGAGAATTTAACCCATTCTTAGACAGGGTTCATTGCAGGAGACACCCTTCAGGTTTAATCTAATAAAAAAGACAACCCAACTATACATATATTGATAAATACTTTTTTAAAGCTATTTTACAACTTATACCACCTATATGGAGTTATTCATTAGCGGAATATGAACCTCCAGGCGTTGTAATTTTAAACAAAGTTGGGTCTTTCTGTAACTAAGCCAAACATCAAGCAGAATTGTACCAGTTACCCTATTTATAGTGATACTTGTGGTAAGTCTAGATTAGATCAAAACAAAATGACAAAATCTTGAAGCAGTAAGTAGATGATGATGAAAAAAAAAAACTTAGTATTTGTTTCACGATGTACATCAAGCTGCTGCACGTGCAGTGTTAGAGAACCAGCTAACTGATATCCCACACGCCATGGCAAGCAATGGCATCCGGGCTGAAGCACATCATCGAATTTCCCAAAATGTTGCTTCACAGTAACTGTAAACTCATCCACTTGAACACAACCAAACGCTTGATTCATTTTTTCTTAACAAACTTTACTGATCAATTTTCTCAATTTTATCGCTATGTTGAAGAGTGCCTCGGTAGATGGTGCCGGGAGGTTGAGGTCCAGTGAGGAGACAAGCACCGAATGAAAGGTGCACTCCCAATCGACTCCACCACTGCCTGTATTATTTGCATTTTCAAAATGTATTGTGAAGGTCTAATGGTTGTTGAAACCTAATGTGGATAATAGTTATCTTTCACAGTATGCATATGTTTTATTTAGGTACTGTAATCTTTCTGTAGATAAAACAGACACTAAAGAAATTCGGGTCATGTATCGAGAAGGACTGGAATGCACCCCCTTTCATACACTGCTTGTTGAACAAGGCTACATCGATGGGCCACTTGATGTTTGTAAGCCTAAACTATTTAAAACACAACTAGAGAAAACACAAATTTGAACATTGTCTTTTGAATAAATTTTGATATGCAAACAGGTATGAGATATGAGGTATCTGTATTTCATGGGCGTGTGGGTTGCACAAGAAGTGGCAAGTCGCATAAGAGTACTTTTCTCTTTAATCCTGCATAGATTATATATGCAGAAAATACGAATTTTACTTCTTTTGCCTACAGGTGATGGTGATCTCAAATTGCAATCCCGACTTTCAGAGTTGTCTTGTCAAAATATTTACCAAGTATTCGTGTAGGTGAAAAAATATCTTTTCTTAGGTATGCCTGCCTATATATTAGTTTATTGCTTAGCTCTGTAACATAAAATAAACCATTATTTGATTTTCAGAATGCTGATATTTTCTTAGTTATTTGAAAGAAAGGAAAAAGCTTTATTGTCGGCTGTCGAGCAGGCTCTGGTACATTATTTTGCATTCAAATATTTCCAGGATGGCCTAATGGTGGTGCTCTTTAAGACGGTAAAACTATCTATTTACCTTTACTTTAACATTATTTTCATTACCATGCAACTGTATTACGAAGTATAAACCAGAAGAAGTTGTTAGGATTGATGTGGTGGAGGTTTTGCTTTGCAGAAAGCGAGTGAGGATAGGAGTTACTTCCTGTGAGTGTTTTCTTTTTCTTTTCTTGAATTCTTTGTTCTGTCTGCATATATCTACTTTTTGGTTTTTATATATTTCATATTTGCAGTATGGATGTAAATGAATAGAGCAGAGTCAAGATAATCATAGGGTGTGTACCTATGGTTACTTCAAAAGTATGTATGGTTATTTCCCCTTTTCCATTTCATTTTTATTTAATTACATATTTTTTTATGATTAAAGTAGATATATGCAGACAGAACAACTCTTTATCGGGACATGATTGATTAACATGAATGCATTCACTTCTATTATAATGAATACCATACAATAGATCTAAAACAATAATAGTCCACTGAAATTTTGTCTCTATCTTTACATTTCAAAAGCTTATGACAGTGCAACTTTATTACTAATCTACTATGTAGCCAATACTTGTGGTTTAATTAAAAAGCTAAAGCAAACATTTTAGTTTAATATCGAGGCATTTGAAAGTGATCTAGAAATAACTAGAATCTTTCTTGATGGTTTTGTAGTTGTTAGACTGTATCAATGCTAACATGTTTAAATGATCATTTTTATCATTACAATAAGTTTCAATAACAAACCCTAATATGTTAGATGTATGGTAAACCTAAAACTCAGAATATCAAAAGTTCGATTAAACATTCTAATTTCTTAATTTAACCTCAACTAATATCCTTTTTACCAAATTCCATCATGTGCAATATATCTTCACAAATAATAATATGTTCATATATATTCCACGAAATTAGCAACATATTTTTCAAAAATAATGTATCATTCAGCAACAGATAAATTCATTATTAAGGAAAACATAAATTGGGTCCGGTTGTGTTGTGCACACCTGCTGGCCAGAATATCTCATAGGGAAACAGTGTATCTCAAAACCATAAATACCATCACAAACTATTCAGAAACAGAAACAGTAGACAAAAAACAAAAAAAGCAATACGTCTATGGAGTGGAGTTCTGGACATATGGGAAGACACTCAGAAGAGTCGAATCGTCATGGATGCCAAGGTACTCCAAGTGGCGCGTCGAACAATCGTAACACAGTAGGTCACCGCTCTCATCCAGAATCAACGCTTTATCATTGTCGTAGAGGCCCATAAATCTCCGAAGAGGACAACTACTTGGGGGAGTAAAGGCATGAGTCGACTCGCGAGTCCAGCGCCTCCAATTCCGCACCCATATCTCAAACGAAGGGCTCCAACCAATTGTGCCCTTGTCTTCGAAATCATACATGATGCAAGCAAGTGACCCATTCAACTCGGCAAGAACTACATCAGTGGTTTCCAAATTCCAGACCTTATCGCTCTCAGGGATAGCGATCAGAGATAAAAACTCATCATTAACGAAATCAAATGAATAAACAACGTAACTAGGAGGATCCTCGGCAAGAGAGTAATGTGTTCCATTAATATGAATGGAAGTGTCGATAAGGTATCCCAAGCCCGCGGGGTTATACGGCAGTGGAATTTTCTTCCAAGAACCGGTTTGGACCGCGTAAACCTCAGCATCGACTCGAAGAGTAGTATAGTAACCAAGGATGTGGGATCGGACAACTTTGTAGGTTCCGGAAACCGGATCAAACCCGAGGCCCGGAAGTACTTGATGACTGCTAAACTCATCGATAACCTCATCGGGATCGGGGATCTGGACGGGCGAAGGAGGAATTGGTTGGGTTTCTCCGGTGGTGGGGTTCCACAGAAGCTCCCACGGAGCTTGCGGAACCCTTTTGCATAAGAGCAAAAACAATTCGTTGCAACTATCTAAAATTCGATAGTTGGCTATTTGTCGGTAGTCGTAGTTATCAGTTCTCATAAAAGACAAATTAGGAAGATTGTCCCTTACCACCTTCAGTTGCTTGTTTTCCGTCGAGATTAGAGTGTAATCGCGGGTTCCGTTGACTACGTGCTCCACCATGAGCATACGTTTGCCCTCGGCAGGCACCGGCGCCGGAGTCAAACTGCGGAAGGAGGAGACAATATTAGCCAGGGACGATAACTTGGATCTTAGACCCATCTCTCTAATGGATATTTACTAAGCAAAACAATACATATTTGCAAGAGATTCTATATTATCTTTATTTCCATATTTTATATCTTTTTCTTGTTTTCTTTATTGGTAGAACTTTACTTATAATTTGTTCTCTATTATTCAGAAAGACAATAAAAATATACATCGTTTTTGCGCGGCAAATTTGTAACTTGATTCGTTTTGAAGCAATTCGAATCAAACTGATACAATTGGCATCCGGGCTGAAGCACATCATCGAATTTCCCAAAATGTTCCTTCACAGCAACTGTAGACTGATCCACTTGAACACAACCAAAGGCCTGGCCCACTTTTTTCCTAGCAAACTTTACTGATCAGAAACTATATATCTGAAGAATAAAGAAATTTGTAAAATTTGTTGCCCCATGATGAATGGTGAAACGATACATGTTCGCAAACATAAGATAAAATATACTATCTAGTCTCCACTCTCTCCTCCGACAAGGCCAAAATTCGAGATGTAAATGTCTAATCTAAAACGGATTGTGCGTTATCTAAATTGTGGCTACGATCGATTGTTTGGTTGGAAATGGTTTGGAGAGTTGGAAGTTCGATGAATACTTTAATTTGTAAACTAGTTTGAATGTTTGTGTCCCCAGCTTGTCCGATGTTGTATGATTTTCGATCTTGAAATGTTGATTTGCTTCTATCG